AGGATCCTACTTGACCAACTTGGCCATCATGTGGGTCAGCTTTTCCTCGTCGGAGCTCGAGAATCGGCCCACTTTGCGATTATTTTTGAGGGTGACGAACGTGGGCATGCTCTGGACGCGGTACTTCTCCGAGAGCTTCTCGAACTTGTCCACATTGACCTTGAGGTCCTTGAGAACCACCGCCTTGGTGGAGTACTTCCGCGCCAGGGACTTGACGGTGCTGTCGATGGCCTTGCAGGGACCGCACTAGTCGGCGTAGAAGTCCAAGACCAAGTGCTTGGTGCTGGCGTCCTCCATGCGCTTGTTGTAATCGGTTTTCAAGCTTTTCTTGTTTTTTTGGAAAAGAACTATCGACTTTAAGCGACGAAATCACGTGGAAAAGACTTCAACTTTCCAAAATGGCGGTTGTTAAAGAAAATAGTATTACTTTTTCTATTTTACGATCTTGAGACACACCGTACAGAGTTGGAGCTGCTTCTGCCGTTAGGTATTAAATCATTTGATTAACACCATTTATGGCCATTGGGCAGAGAGCCCGTTAAAGCCGGGGGCAAGTCATTAATAAAAAGAGTAAACAGTAGCGGGCAAAGATGACTTCCGAGGGACCCCAGATGTAGCACGTACCAAGAGGAAATGTATATTTTTAAATAACACTCTTTGTATTCTTCCATCTCAGTAGCTGGAGATCCACGTAAGGAGGTCTATAAAAAATCCCAGCATGTTCAGTTTACTGAACAAGAGTGACTAAAGTCTTTACTAAAGTCTGCGTAGATAAAATCCCTTTGAAATACCTTTCGAATGCCATGACAAAGGATATCAACTCCAGTAAATGAGTGGTGGTGGAGCGACGCTTAATGAAGCCATTCTGATATGGAGAGATGATTGAAGAGCAAAGGTGTTGCAAACGAGGAGTAATTAATTTGTGAAATAACTTTGGAATTGCCGATAATTTAGAGATACCTCTGTAGTTAGCAGCATTCGACTTTTTCCCTTTTTATGTAAGAATTTATGAAAGATTCCTTCCACTTAAGGGGAAAAGTCGAGGCTTCCAAGTCTATGAAGAGGTTTGCACATGGCACAGTATCTTAGCACACAGCCTGGTACTCCGTCGGGGTCTGGCGAATAAATAGGTTCGACCTTTAGGAGATAAGATAATAAGGTATTCTTGGAGAAAAACGGACAGAAAATAAGATTTGCTGAGTGAATTTTGTATGCGTAAGGGTGATCTGTCGACTTAGGCGGAGAATAAGTTGTTTGAATAAATTTTGCGAATAGATCGGCAATGGTCTGATCAGACGTCGTAGATGAATTTTCAAACGTAAGCAGAGGTAAGCGGCAGCGGCGTGTATAATTCCTGTAACATTCAGCGGTATGCACGGTAAAATTTGACGGAGCTAGTAGATATCTTGAAAAATATATACTACAGCAGGTTTCTTATATATTCTAAGTAAGAGCATATTTTTAGTATTTCAGGGAGCAGCGCAACTGAGCTTGAGTGAAAACTTGCCCAGGCAGATGAGTGACAATCTGCAAACGGGACTTGGAGTGACGTCATCGCTGCAGTTGCCGGCACAAATTAGTGAAAATTTGCCGCCACAATGGAGTGGAAATTTGGCGCCGACGCTCTGGCGGCCATTGTGCAAACGGGCAACCTGTGACACGGACACACACACCAACAACAACAGTAGGCTATTCTCCGCCGTGTGACCGCCACGGCGCAGCCTGGACTAGGTTATGTTCATCCGCCACGGGAGCCGACTCACACTTTGGAGGTATCTGCACCATCGCCCCAGTCATATGGAGTAGCGACGGCGAGCATACCTGCATGAACGTAGATTGCCTGATCTTCCCGATTTCGAGGGTCAGCCAGAGGAATGGCCAATATTCGTGTGCGCTTTCACGGAGACAACGCCAGCCTACCAGTGCACCCAATTGAAAAATAACCAGAGGCCAGTGAAAGCCCTGAAGGGCGAGGCCTGCGAGACAGTGAAGTCGCTGCTCATCCATCCTAACAACGTAGAAGCTGTTATGGAGCAGCTTCAATTCCGGTATAGACGTGCGGAGCTACTCATCCGTAGTTGGCTACGCTAGCGTGTGCGATGTGCAGCCAATTCAGGAGGCCAACGTCGCAAGGATCGTGCCGTTCGCGACGAAGGTGAGCAACCTGGCAGCGTTCCTGCAGTCAACCACGATTGGCAACCAGCACCTAGGGAACCCAACCCTAATGAAGGAGCTGATCGCCAAGTTGCCGCTGAGCAAGAGGTTGGACTGGGCGAAGCACGCGGTCACAATACAGCTGTATCCGACAGTGGTGCACCTGAGCGAATGGCTTCATGAATTCGCAAGACTGGTGTGCACTGTCACGGATGCTGGAGCCAAGGAGCAATCGAAGCGAAGGATCCTGCACGCGAATAGTGTTCGCGTTTCTAGGCGTTTCTACAACGACGCGGATCGAGTCCGCATGAAAGCTGAGGCTATGCTTTTCGTATCTGGAGCCGCGGATGCAATGTTCACGGATCCACCTACTGTCCAGGATGTCACCTGGACATCCCAGACGGCCGCCAGTCGCAGATGGAGGCCGCAGGAGGGATCATAGAAGCAGTCAGGACCGACGGCTGTACAGAGACAGCAGCAAGCGGAGAGGAATGCCACGACCAGTGGATTCCAACGAGAGGAGCCGTCCTTCGACAGCCGCAGTTATAGACGCGGGGCGTGAGCAGGATGAAAGGCGATCGAAGTGTGACCGCCAGGAATTGCCGCATCGAAACCTGAGCTGCGTCGATTCGATTGGATGCCACCTACTATTCCGGATTCTACCCGTGACGCTGTACGGAAAGAATACGCAGGTCGACACCTATGCACTGCTGGATGAAGGATCATCTGTCACGCTCATCGACGACGAACTCATCCGCAGCCTGAACCTGAAGGGCGAGAGTCGCCAACTGAACGTGCAGTGGTTTGGTATGCGACCGGGCCGCTACGGAGAGACAACGAGGTGAGACTGCAAGAGAGCTACAATATGGCGCTCAAGAGACTCGTTAACATCGAGAGAAAAATCAGGCGCGATGTGTACTTCGCGCGGGCCTATAAGGCACAATGGAAGATTACGTCAAGAAGGGGTACGCACGACGACTGGAGCCCCAGGAAGTCTAGAGGTTTCAGGAAGGCAATTTTTGGTACCTGCCGCACTTCGGGGTGGAAAAACCGAACAAACCTGGAAAAATCCGGCTGGTCTTCGTCGCGGCTGTCAAGATGAACGTCGTTTCCCTTAATTCAGCGCTAATGAAAGGCCCACAGCGCTACAAGCCACTGCATCCCAGCAGTGCTCTTCCATTTTCGGAAAGGAGCAGTTGGGGTTTGTGCAGACATCAAGGAGATGTTTTATCAGGTACTGATGCAGCCACAGGACAGATGTACCCAAAGGTTCCTGTGGAGAAACGGAGATGACCAGCGGGAGCCGGACGTATACGAGATGCAAGTGATGACGTGCGGAGCAGCTTGCTTACCATGTTCGGCGGACTATGTGAAGACCTTGAATGCCTCGCAGTACAGCAGCACGGAACCGCGACCAGCCACGTCTATTAAGGAATAACACTACGTGGACGACTATGTCGACAGCTTCACCAATGAAGAAAAAGCTTTCGCCATTTCGATACGGGTGAGAGAAATTCATGCAGATGCAGGTTTTATCTTTTGTCGAACTTCCAGTTCGGAGAGTGTGGTCAGAGCGTTGAACCCACTTGAATCCATCGCTAGCGTTAAATAAACCGAAGCTGAGGAAAAGGTACTTGGTACATATGACTTCAAGTTCAGCGTCAAATATCATCAAGTCCCGAGAAGCGTGATGACAGAGGAACGCGTCCAAGAGGGAGTTCCTTAGCCTGCTCATGTCCACGTTTGACCCGATTGGATTCCTGAGCTGCTACATGGTGACTGCCAAATTGTTAATGCGAGAGATTTAGCGGAAAGGAGTCGAACTGAGACGAGCCGCTACCAAATAATTTGGCCGCAGCCTTTGAGGACTAGCGGCAACGAATGAGCCAAATCGAAGAGTTTTGATGTCCACGCTACTACTTCGGCGGTGGATGCTGCGGATGCTATAGCTGCACATTTTCGGGGACTCCAGTCAGTCGGCGTTCGCAGCAGCGGCCTATTGACGGGCCACTTACGAGAACGGAGACGTCCAGGCTCATTTCATAAGCTTCAACACGAAATGCGCTCCGATGAGGACTATGTCGACCCGACGACTGGAACTTCAAGCAGCAGTATTGGGCACAAGAATGATGGACACCGTCAAGCAGGAGCATGGTGTGGCGATCAGCGACTGCGTTTATGGACGGACTCAAAGACTGTGTTGCACTGGATAAGCAGCACCCACCGGAGATACAAGCAGTTCGTCGATAACCGGGTGGCAGAGATCTTGGAATCCACGGAGGCGTCCCAGTGGAGATGGGAAAACGTGGCAACGTCGTCCATTTGCCGAAAACGTGGCAAATGACAGGACGAGGCCGCGCAAGGCCGTGGACCTGAGCATCGATTCGCGATAGCTAAGCGAGCCACTATTTCTACGAGGACCAGAGGAGAGCTGGCCAAGATCGAGTGAAGGATGGATTCCACCGATGACTGACGAAGAGGAAATATAATGTGAGTTTGCCTTGGTTATGGTAAATTTCATATCCTTGCAGAGCTTCTCCAACTACAATCGACTGGCGAGGAGCACCGCAGGGGTGCACAGATTTATTCGACGGTGTCTTGGAATACGATACGGTGAAGAGGATCACGAACTGAAGCTGAGGTACGGAAATCGCAGCGAGAAGCGTTTGCTGAAGACAGCCAAGGAAAAGCCGCCAAGGGAAGCCGACTGCATGGACTGTCCCCATACTTCGACGAGGATGGAGTAATGCGAGCCAGCGGAAAAATCGACGACGCGACGAATGTTCCATACAGCGCACGTTGGCCCTACTGTCTCACAAGGAGGCATTGGCGGATAACAAAACACGATGGCAACCATCGGAGCGATCCGGCAGAAGTTCTGGACTACGAACATACGGAGGCTGCTACGGAGGGTGGTGAGCAAATGCAACGTTTTTAAGCTGCGAGGAGCACGACCAACTCAGCCTGAGATGGGTCCCCTGCCAGAGTTTACCGGATTGGACTATTTTGGACCGCTATTTGTGACGGTTGGACGTCGCATGGAAATGAGGTGGGTGGCACAGTTTACGATTTGTCCACCGATTCCTGCATAATCGTCATAAGGAACTACATGAGCCGACGTGGACCCGTCGTCAGGATTAGGAGCGACAATGGAAAGAACTTCGTTGGAGCTAACCGCGAGGCTAAGAGGTTCAGCGAAGTGTTCGAGACTGTACAGATCCAGAGCGAGCTGTTGTCTAAAGGAGTTGAATGGATCTTCGATTGCCCAGGGAACCCAGCTGAGGGTGGCGCCTGGGAGAGGATGGTGCAGTGTGTGAAGAAGGTGCTGGCGCACACGATGAAGGAACTCGCGCCTAAGGAGCACGTGCTGGAGAACCTGCTGATTGAAGCGGAGAGTAAAGTAAACTCTTGTGCGCTCACACATCTACCAGTGTCGGTGGACCAGGAGGCTCCACTGACACCCAACGACTTGCTGAAGGGAGCACCCAATGCTTCAGATCTTCCCAAGCATGACGGACAGGAGTCCCTGAGATGCGCTACCAGGAAGCAGTGGCGCATTGCAAGGATGATGCGGGATCGGTTCTGGAAGCGATGGGTGCATGAGTATCTGCCGACTCTTGTGCGCAGGGAGAGATGGTGCAAGCACTCCGAGTCCATTTGTCGAGGAGACCTAGTGTTCATCTGTGATTCACCCACAAATGGCTTACGAAGCTTACGAAAGCTTCATTTGTCAGCTTACGATGTGGGCAGTTGGGACGAAGGCGGTATATATGAACATATAATGTATAAAGATTTAGCGGGCAAAATGATTTTAATGCAAATAAATTCTGTCACCTAACTCTTGTGATTTCACCTTTTTAGAAGCAAAGAAAGAACTATCAGAATATAGTTTAGGGAGTTTGCTACGTAGCCCTCTAGTATCCTTATAGGTAAGTGTTAGTGACGATATTAGTTTTTTGGGTTAGTGGACAAAGAAGAGATGGAAGGTTGGTCCGTGGTTCTGATATGGGGAAGACAATATATCACTCCCACTGGTCTTTTTTCTTTATATAACTAGGCTGATGTTTTTGGACAAAAATTTTCTCTGATTAAAAACTGGATGAACAAATCGTCTTGAACATCAGCGCGGGCACATAGATATTGAAAGGAGAGGTTGAGGAGGAAATCTTATATAATTATAATTATATTTAGCTATGTCATCCACTGTCATTGCTATGTCATCCACTTTCATGTCATTGCTACCCAATTTTAGTAATGAAGACCACGTAGCCGCAGCCATAGATAGCCCAAAGGGCCCTCTAAGGGTGTGTTCGGTGTATATGGGCCACGACCACGAAGCCCTCCCCCCGCACCCGCTACTCAAACAGCTGGTGGAAGATAGCAGGAAGCACAAGATCGACCTGATCATAGGTTGCGTTGCCAACGACCATCATCATCAGTGGGGAAGCTTTATTTGAGAACTTTATTCGACTAACAGTACGCAACACGAGAAAAGCGAACTGGGAGTTATATAAGAAAAAACTAGAAAGATCTTTGGGGAAATTCCTGGATGCCATGGTGGACACGCTTACGGCAGCGTGCGCCAGGGCATTCAATAAAGCTTGTCCCAAAATCAGATCGGGCAGTAGCAAGTCAAAGAAACCACCATGGTGGTCGCAAAGACTTGCGCCCTTTAAGACTAAGGCCCGCAAAGCCTTTAATTTCGCCAGTAAGGCGGACACGGAGACAGCCAGGGAGACGTACAAAGCGAACCTTAGGCAGTACAACAAAGAACTGCGTAGAGCAAAAAGGAATGCCTGGACCAAGTTCTGCGCGAACAATCAACAAACATCAGAGGCCTCCCGACTCCGGAAGGCCCTCGCAACAACTGCACCAAATGTAGGATATATTAAAACCTCGGAAGGTAACTGGACAACGTCCAGCAAAGAAACCCTAGAGGCTCTCACAGAGGCACATTGCCCGGGATGCTCTTTGGAAGAAAAAACCCTGGAAACGAAAAGACAGGGGGACAGCCTCTCCCTCCCCCCCAACCAACTCGAATACCTATTCAAGATTCAAGCCTTTCAAATCCCGAGGCCCAGATGGCATTGTCCCGGTTCAACTAATTAAAGCCGGAACTAATCTGTGGTCATGGGTCAGGAAAGCTTTCACAGCAATTTTCAGAATAGGCATCGTACCCGCAATGCATTTGCCTTCTCTGGGACATTTTTCCAGACTTTATGTGACTGCTTGACGGACAAACTTAGGGTCCTCTCAGTTAGGAATGGACTAGGTGTAAACCCATCCAAAACCGAGCTTGTCCTCTTCACCAGGAAGTACAAAATACCAAACCTAGTACCTAGGGATTATGCTAGACAGGAAACTGGGCTGGAAGTCAAACACTATGGATAAAGCTAACAAGGCAACCATCGCGCTCTATACATGCCGAAAAGCCATTGGTCTTAAATGGGGAATGTCCCCAAAAATAGTAAGATGGCTTTACACAGCGGTCATAAGACCCATCCTTTTCTACGGGGTGGTGGTCTGGTGGCCTGCTCTCACAAACTCCACATGTAGAGAGAGACTTAGGAAAACGCAAAGGATGGCGGAGGTCTGTATCACAGGCAGTCTGCGTACCACATCGACAGACGCCCTAGACTTCATACTCGACCTATTACCCGTAGAGATAATGGGGGCCAAAATAGCCACGCTATCGGCAATTAGGCTACGCGAGACGGGCATATGGAAAAGGAGCGAGTATGGACATACCAAGTTGTACCTACATCATTGCACGCCAACGGGGGCAACAGACTACTGAATACCAGTTAAGCATCCCACCTTAAAATTTAAGGTATCCATTCCAACAAGGGAGGAATGGGCCACACAAATCCCGGGACCAGCCGGTTCCCTTCATATTTACACAGACAGTTCAAAATTGAATGGCCAGGTGGGAAGCGGTTTCCATGGCAAACGGCTGTGTCTAAATGAGTCCTTCAGACTCCCCGACCACTGTAGTGTGTTCCAAGCAGAAGTAATAGCTATCGGGGAAGCACTTAGATCCCCAGCACTTACTGGCAATCAAGACGCAATCTGTATCTTCTCAGACAGTCAAGCGGCACTCAAAGCCCTTGATGGATTCTCATCCAACTCCAGGACAGTGAATGACTGTCGCAGATCTCTTCACGAGATGGCAGAACAGTATGACATCCACCTCATATGGGTGCCCGGACATAGGGACCACGAGGGAAATTGCGCCGCTAACGAACTAGCAAGGGCAGGCTACGTGTAGGCTAAAATGTAGGGATCACTTTGACCGCGCAGCACTGAGGAATTGGAGAAATTTCCAATACTGCAGGAATTCACCCATGATATGGCCTCTCCGCTTTAGGAAGAGATCAATGATGCTTATCGCCCTCAATAGGCAGGGCTGCAGTCTGGCAGTCAAGGCCATCACGGGACAAGTTTATTCAATAATCATTCAAACATACTCTTATTTTTTAAGGACCTTGCGTCATACACAAATCTTTCGAGGGCCTATTTGGTTTCGACAGCAAATGAAAAACAAATTTTAATTTCCAATCGCTCCAATTGCTGAATTTTTCTGGCTGGGCTGTCCGTCTATGCACAACTCGATTGTTGATTCTTCGGGCTTTTATATAATACATATGACATAATTTAGGGTTAAACAGATAAAAGTACGACAATATTCTCAATCATTCATATGGTGAAGTAACGGCATTACAATTATTTCCTTGAAATATGGGATCGCGACTGCTTTACAAATAAACTGATAAAATTCAAAAATTTCTTGAAAAGATAAAGGCTCCGTGTCTACTAGGTATTAGGTAGATCCAAGTCAGAAGATCTTATAGGCCACATATAAAAGTTCCGCACATTCTTTAATCGTCTTCCTCTAAATGTATTTTTCATAATTGATTCTATTCACATCGAAATATCTCCTTCAATGTAACAAACATTGTTAGGTTCCTTCTGGATTAAGGTTCAATCGCTTCTTTTTAATATTATTAAATTGTTTCTGTCTTGGATGGTTAAATTCGGTTCTTCGTCCATTTTCTGGTGAATTTGCTCCAGAATGATTGTTGGCTTTCTGTCAAAATGTGTTGAAAATAATTTTTAAATGCATAAACAAAGCCTTTAACTGGATCGACAACCTGTTTCACCGTTTCTTTTACATGTAGTAAGCTATGTATGTATGTTAAATGACACTATTTTTTTCAAATATTATTGGAAAATTAAAAACACATAGGTTCAACATTGCTGACACGGTTTCAAATTAACGTTTCGCTGATATGGGGAGCAAAGCATCCTATACGCACAATGCACTAAGAAAAACACATAGTATTGGTCGTCAGATAATTTATTTTTGAGAACGAAAATCCGTATTTTACAATCATTGCACATTGGGATGAAATGGCATTATTTTGGCCAAAACCTGAAAAGTTCGTTTTAATATATCAATAATGTTACAATTATTTCAAGTTAAGAAAAGTCCCTAGACATCGAAAATATTTAATTTGTATTTTATTGTAAAGCCCTCGTCTTGCACCAGCTCTTGAAAGTGACCTTTTCTTGCCACGCGGTGCGTGCACGCTTGCTGATTAGTGAAGTTCCTAAATTTTGGCGTTCTCGAATTTTTAAACAGTTTTACCAATTAAAATACTTTAAAATGAAAAATGTTTCGCATGGTATGTAGAAAATATTTGTATAAGTGTTTAATTATATGTGCTTTTGTGTTGTCATGTTTTTTATGTAATCGTAAACAGTAGTTTTGTTGATTCTAACCTGAAAATATTTGTGTTTCGTGGAGCATATCTAGCAAGATACAACAGGATTCAAATAACAACGTATGTGGTAGTATGAGTTATTATGTGAATATTCAGATCGCATTTAAATAATTTGCGGGAATTTGCGGAGGGGCTAAATGTGTCAACAGATTCAAGCAAGGTTGCTATTCGTCGAGGTGACACTAGAAGTTTGGCTGGATGTAAATCGAAATTTCAACGCTATTTTTTACTGGGTTTGCGTCTAAGTAATTCCAAATGGTTTTCCGGAAAACGATTTGTGATTAAACGAGGTGATTAAAAACAAAATAAAAAACTTTATTGTTCAAATTAAGAGACTGCTGAATAAAGCACACAGAAATATTCGTCGTTCCAAATAAGAAATTGCTAACTTGCTTACATCGGTGCTAATATTTTATTCAAAAGATGATTATAATTGTAATCTCGGTGGACGACCTCGGCTCTCTTATAACGAAGGAATATTACGGCATAAAAGAAGATTTGCTTCCGAACATGCAAAGGAAAATTCAACACTTCTACTTGTTGAAGCAGCTGCTATGTCTGCTAAGAAGGCAAAAAATGCGTTCAAAATCACACTCATTGTCAGGTGAAGTTATTGCATTTTTAGTTTCTCCAAAACCGGAAAATGCACCCCAAGTATATAGTGTTGAAGACGAGATTAAAAGTATACAATTTTTTTATTTTTTAAAAGTATACCACTTTTTTAAAAAAAGTTGTAGAGTAAAAGAAAAATACGAAATTCACAAATAATATAAGCAGCAATTTCTCCAACTTTTAACATTCTAGCTTATAAATTACGGCTATGGCCAAAATAAAGGCATTTCATCCCAAGGTTGTCTTAATCCCGTTGCTTTCCAGTTATATAGTTCACTTAAGGGTCTTGGCTTAAGGATCAATATATTATAAGTCTTATTTTTCCTCAATCAAACAAGAAATTTACGCATGACTCCTAAGTCTAATAAATGCCTGCAGTCTAGTGGAATTTGGGAAACCATTTTTACATTTACGGTCTTAAAGGGTGCCTATTTTGTCAAATACTGTTTTAAGTGATGAACGGAATATTACCTACTTTTGAATTCCTCGTCGGTTATTAAGTCTTCACTCGTTGTTGTGTATGTTAAAACACCATTTATTTATTTGCCGACTTAAATGCAATTTTAACTTCTATGCCAAGATGTATGTCCTGGAGTCCTACTGATGAAAGCACTAGCTGGGGCATCACAAACAATAGCCCTTAACTGTAAATTTTAAGTAATTTTAATTTTTTTTAACTGTATATTGCTTTTTTTTTGTCAAATCCATTTTGAAGAAGGTTTTTAAGCTCGCAAGATAATTGGCTTAGAAATTCGTCACGACTATTGGGCCATAGTTGTGAATTTTACCTTTTGAATAGAGGTAAAATGATCCTGTTTGTGATCCTCCTCAGCCGGCTCAGCCGACATTACACAGCCGCTCATATCTCTGGTCCCCCTTAGGGCTAGAACTGAGAACAATTCGTCTTTGAATTTTTCAGGGAAAATGAACAATTGTCCGACATGTCCTCCGTGGCATCCTTTTAAGTGATACCACAGGTCCTAGTGAATGAAACCACGGTTAGAGTCACCCAGCAGGCTATTCCACAGTCCGGACCACTGGTATCGGACTGATGCTGTAGTTTTCGTACCTGCGACACCAAAACCCTTACAGGTGATTCTTCCAGCGAAATATATATTTTTTTTTCGGCCTGCCGCTGATACTTCAGAGATTAATATCTCGGCTTATATCAAAGCCAAAACGAAAGCCGATTGGTAAAGGTGGATGACATAGGTTAGGTTAGGTTAGGTCAATGACTTATAGACTGCGTGCAAAGGATAGAAGGGTGTGTGCAAAGTTTCAGGTCCATAGCTTTAAAACTGAGAGACTAGTTTGCGTAGAAACAGACAGACAGACGGACAGACGGACATACTCATATCAACTCAGGAGGTGATCCTGATCAAGAATATATATACTTTATAGGGTCGGAGATGTCTCCTTCACTGCGTTGCATACTTTTGGACAAAATTATAATACCCTCTGCAAGGGTATAAAAAGAGTACTAAAAACATTGCTGGTTTTAAACATAAATGTTGAATGCAACATCTACTCTCAGGTCACAAAACCTTTATTTTCGTTTACTATATACCTTAAACTTTGAGATAATGCTAAAATGGATTTCTAACAGAGAAAATCAAAAAGAGTGTCGCAAACATAAAAAGACATCGATCAAGCCTGATTCAACACCTGAAAATTGTATAGTACCATATGTCAGCTTTGAGAGCTTTCAGATGATCTAGTTAATCAACTTCATTTTGTTGATTTCAAACAGACAATATCAAAAAGAGTGTCGCAAACATAAAAATACATCGATCAAGCCTAATTCAACACCTGAAAATTGTATAGTACCATATGTCAGCTTTGAGAGCTTACAGATGATATAGTTGATCAGGGTTATAGGTTTTGTGTATTTTTTTTACGATATTCAATTATTTGACTATCGGTAGACTAAAATTTGCTTAATCTGACGCTAAAATAGCCAAATCAGCCACTGCACTATGGGAAAAAAGTTTTTTTGCATAAACTCTAGTTTTAAAGATAAAAACTGAAAACTGAAATTTGTTATGTATACTATTAAGATTAATGTGTAATTTCGGATTTTGTTGCTTTTTGAATCGGATAATTGCCTTCATCCACCCACCCCCCACCAATAAATTAAATTTGTAAAATGGCTGCAAGCCACTTATAATTTTTTTTTTATTTTTATATTTTTATTATAATTAATGTACAGTTTAATCAGATTCCTCTTCCTCTAAATATATTTCCAAACAATCACTTTCATTATCGTAATCGGATTCATCTTCGGACGAGCTTACGGAGGTATCTTTGTCCTTTTCATTCAATATTGGCTCCTCAAAAAGATAGATAACCTCTGCTGGAAGACGCTTTCTTTTTTTTTGTCCTTTGGTGATGCGGAGATTAGAGAGTAAAGGATCAGACGAATTCATAGCCCTGTGAAACACATCAGAAATATTGTCAATGCGGCTACATTTTCTTGCGTGATGCTTTCTGTCAGCTTTAAATAATTTATGCCTTGCTTCCGATACACCTTCTCCCAAAGAGGCAACTGGAACGATTAATCCGATTGTATGATTTTATATCATTGTACTACAGTCGGAGACATGGGGTACCACGGATAGCTCGACATTGTATATGTGGTGAAAGTTTCAAAACAAAATAATTTGAATTTTTCAGAATTTATGGGATAATTATAATTTATAGCAATCAAAATAATGTAAAGGCGATGAATCAAATGGTGGTCTACTCCTAAAATCGAAGACAATTTCTCTTTTAACTGACCAACAGATTCTGTTGAAGCCGCTTTCTGAACCAACAGATTCTGTTGAAGGTGGCAGCGTGGAGTAAAAGAAAATTGTTATTTCTTCTGCAAGTTCAGATGCTATTTTTCTTTTGAGCCTTACGCCAGCATCCTCATAATTCATTTTTGGGCGACCTCGTTTATTCGATGACATATTTTGAGCAAAAACGCTTAAACTCATATTGCCGGCTAGCCACAAAGAGTGTTTTTTCTTAAATTAGTCCATTATACGGTAGCATTTTGGCAAATGTTTTTTAATATAACCAATGAAACATTTAATTTTGGTTGATTTTTGCTGATTTAAAGTTTAATCAAATTGCTCGCCGTAAAGTTGTATTTGTATGTATCTTCTTAGAGCATCTTCCGAGCGCCTGTTTTTCTCCCAAACTTCGAAAGGGGCAGGGGAGGGAGCTCATAAGTTGCTGGACATAAGTCACTTTTTTGAAAAAACGTGCAAAAAGTTGCAAAAATGATTAGTTTTGCGATATTAAGGATACGTTTGGTAATAACTTTGAGCTTTTACCTTTTTGCAACGTTGTGCCATTTATAAGTTATACACCACGGAACACAAACAAACTTGTTAGTTTTAAGCTAAAAATATACACATATAAAACAATTCACAGTTGGACAACAAGTCATAATAATCAAAACATGTAATCTAAGATAAATTTATAAATATCTTTGCTACGATTTGCCATAATCAGAAATAATAAATCAATTTGTTGCTCCACAAAATAAACAGTGAAAGTTTGCAAAAATTTTTCACTAATTTAAGCACACAACAATGTCAATCGAACAGCTGACTTTGTTCGTTTATTAAAACTATATTGTTGTTAGTAAAAAATCTTAGATAACGGCTCTTGGCTAATTAGGGTATGTAAATTAAAAAAATATATTTTATTTTTAAAAGTAAATTGTAAAATAATTTGTTTTATGCCAAAAAAATTGACTTTTTTCCCATAGTGCACTGTGCGCCAGAGGCGACGATCTCGGAGGCAAGTTCGTCTGAGATCTTTTCTGGGTTTGCGTTGCCTCCGGAGTCTGATCTGTATACTTCTACGGTGACACAGCTGAAATTGAAGCTAAGCTCCCCATGAGGGCCTCTATACGAGCTAGCGACTCTTTATTTATGATAAGCACCGCCTGGTTTGTTGGTCCCTGCATTACTTCAACCTTCGTCACACGCCAGTCCGTCGTGGGAAGGTGCGGGTTAAAGCATTGGAGCTTTGTCAACATCTGACTCTGCTCGTTTATGGATGCCGGCATCCATATCCTTGTTCGGGGCTATAATGGATGTCACACCAGCTTAGCGCTATGAGTTTGGCACCCTTGTAGTTCTCTTCGAGCTCCTGGATCGCAGAATTGAATAGCTCCACCGATTGCTCATCGTCATAGGCTACAACCATGACATTCTCCTGTAACCACCCCTGTCCTGGAACAACCTGTCTTCACAGACAGGTGCGGGGCCCGGTTCCCTCGCAGGGATCTCGAAGCACTCCTTAGCTAGGGTGGCCTTCATCCATTTTCACTTTTCCGCTCCATAAGATGGGAGCACGCTTCTTGTCCATTCTACCATTTTGAGCCACTCCTCAGAGCTCTTGGCAGTCTTTGACCGTTCGTGGCTTCGAAGGATTTGTCCGGCAGACCTCTTTTCCGCGCATGTATGTTTCTTTCATCCGCTGTCGCCAGCTTCTGGAGGACCACCTTCTTTTGTCGCACCTCAGGGTGGTATCATGGCACTTAGGCCGGGAGATGACATCGTGGTAGCAGTTTCGAAAGCCTTTCCTCCAGCCATCCCCAATTTGGGGCGGGGCCCTAACTGACCTGACTTAACGAATTTGGCTTGACGGGACTCACTATTCGATGTCTTAAATTGAGTTTTTTTTTCAGATCCCTACTCTTTTTTACCCTGAGCCCTCCGTTAGAGACTGGGAAGAATATCCCGGGCCCCCAGCCAAGCTGACCATCGCGATGCATCGGCACGGGTCGAGTAACACCTTAGTCCGACCCGGGGTGGAATGGTGTTTTGGGCCAAGAGGAGAGTCCTACTACTATGTTTAAAAAAAGAACACGAATACCATGAATATTGCGAATTGCAAAAGAAGTCGCTTTACGTAATTCGTTTTCATCACACGCCGTTTTTACTATTTCAAAGCGGAGACTGAAAATTTTAATCAAGAATTTTTTCTAGTTACCGTTCATAAAAGAATCGATTAATTTTGGCACCACCTAAGAGCTCACCTTAGAGACCAATGCAGAACCGCTTCCCTCAATAGTCATTTCAAAGTCGCACTGCAATTGCTGAATTTTTCTAAAGAAATACATTTTTTCTATCAAGTGATTTTATAATAGAGCAATAAAAGGTCTCAATAGATTTTATTTTCATTTATTTATTATTATTTACGCATTGAAACGACACTAAAAAATTTAGAAAAAAACCAAATTCAGGGTTAGAGTGGAAATTGATTTTGAAGAATTTATTATTCTTGTATTATTATAATAGCAATAAAAGGTCTCAATAGATTTTATTTTCTTGATGATGATGTAGTTTAAAATTAATTAAGAAAAATATCGTGGGTCACAATATTGGGCTATTTTATTTGCGATGTAAACCAAATTTATAATTTAAACCATTATTTACCATTATTTAAAAAATTTAGAAAAAAACCAAATTCAGGGTTAGAGTGGAAATTGAATTTAAAGAATTTATGATTAAGATTTTTATATTTTAAGATTATCAAGATTTTTTTGGATAGGCCAGATAGGCTAATTTGTGATCGTGTAGGCACATGACAGATACAGCCGTCCCACTAATAAGACAAAGAAAAAAACCTTATATGGGCAAAGAAGAGGCAGAAAGAAAATGGAAAACGATAGCTTCAAACCAGGGAGATTAGTTTGCATAGAAACTGACAAATGGTTTATTTAATATATTATAGACCAGCTATAAGCAACAAGCTATACCTATAAATAAATAGATTGAATACTATAAATATGCAATACATTTTATTGTTTAAAAAACAAACAAACATTTTTTTTATATTTATCAATAACAAGAAAGGAAAGCTAACTTCGGGCGTAGCCGAAGTTTATATACCCTTGCAGCTAAAACCGGATATATATCGCAAACATCGGATACAGTTGGTCGATCCTTAATTCCTCCTGAAATTTGGTAGGTTGGATCATCTGGCCAAAAATATAATCTGTATTAAGTTTCAGCTTCCTATCTTCAAAAACACGAAAGTTGGGTCATTT